CTGGCCCGGCCCGAGCAGCTCCGAGCCCTGCCGGGAGGAGCAGCCGGACCGGGAGGGATGGGTGCCGGGGTGTGTGGGGTGTCTGCTGTGGTGTGGGTGCGTGTTGGGTGAGGGGTGCGTGTCGGGGGTGTCGGGTGCGTGTCGGGGCTGAGGGATGCCTGCTGCATGTGTGGGGTGCCTGCTGGGTGTGCGGGGCGCCTGCCGGGGCTGCGGGGTGCCTGGCGAGGATGTGGGGTGCCTGCTGGGTGTGCGGGGTGCCTGCTGCATGTGAGGGGTGCCTGCTGGGTGTGCGGGGTGCCTGCTGCATGTGAGGGGTGCCTGCTGGGTGTGCGGGGTGCCTGCCGAGGATGTGGGGTGCCTGCCGAGGCTGCGGGGTGCCTGCCGAGGATGTGGGGTGCCTGCCGGGTGTGCGGGGCGCCTGCCGGGGCTGAGGGTGCGGGGCTGTGCGGGCGCAGGGCAGCGCAGGGTAAGGGGCTGCTGGGGCAGCTCGCACCGAGGTCCTGCTTTGTACTCGGAGGAGAGGTGTCGTTTATTTCTGCCCTCCGCTTGTTTGCAGATGAGTCACCGGGTTTCAGGAACGTCAGAAAGGGCGGCCGGAGGAAGCGAAAGGCGCTTTGTTCTCGAGCACTCAGCGGGGTGACCGTGAGCAGGAAAAGGGGGGGCGGCTTTGAGTCACCCGCTCCCCGCGCTGGCCACTGCCTCGGCAAGTGAGCAGATGACACACGGGGGCGCAGATAGTTTTTTCAGGAAAAGGGAGAGAACTTTCTCCCTTGCCTGCTGGGCTTTTTGAACATCTTTTTTAAATATCTTTTTTTCTTTCCCGTAACCCTCTTGGGTCTCCCAAGGAGCTCGGAGGTGAAGCACAGACATCTGAATCGGTTGTTGTGGTGCTGCAGAGTGCAGCGCTTCCCTGCCGCCGTCCGTCCGTCGGAGCGGCACAGGGACCGCAGCACTGCCACAGACCAGCCACCAGCCCTCCTCCGGGGGGAGCACCAGACATTCCTGACAGGCGGTTCTCTGCCGTCAGATGCCGGGTTTTTGAGGGATGAACTTTAGGATGGGTTTGTAATGACTCTTCAGCTATCCAGGGCAACGAGGGGATCCCCTGGAGTGGGGGAAGCTCCACGCCAACGCTTCTCTGGCGCTAAGAGCTCATCTGCACTAGCAAGGACCCATCCCTGCAGGCCCTCCATGGACAGTTCTCAGAGTCATAGATCTTCCCTGAGCTCTGGCCGTCCAGGAAAGGTGCAGGGATGGCCTCTGGCCAGGTCTCTCCCTGGCACCATGCCTGTCCCAGCTCTGCCACAGCAGCCCCCTGTGCCCTGTCCTGGAGACTCTGCATGGGCTTTGCTGTGTGCCCAGAGCTGCTGTGCCAGGAAGTCCTTGGTCCCCACCGAGACCCGAGTGCTGGCTGAGGGCACTGTCCTGCCCTCGTCCTGCCACGCTTCAGCCTCTGCTCTTGGCCTTCCCTCTCTGCAGCTGGAGGTCCTGCACGGGCACCATTAGCCAAGGGCGGTGTTATTTCCCCATCTTTGCCCAAAGGTGAGTTGAGGGATGCCAGGGATGCCGAGCGAGTCAGAGTATGAGCAGGTTGAGGCCAGGTGGGTGCCCGAGGCAGGCAGGGCTGCAAGGACAAATCCTGGCAGAGCAGCAGCAGCTGGTGAGAATTGTGCGCAGGAATGGAAAAATTAAGCAGATTTCTGTAACTGCCAAGGCTGGTGCTTAACTGCCGTGCGAGCACAGGGCACAGCGAGGCCCCGGGGCTGCGCTGGGAGGGATTTGTGCAGCTCGCACCTAAACCGCGCATCACGTGGCGGCCCTTCCGCGCTCGCAGCCCGGCAGCGCGTCCTGCGGAGCGCGGGCACTGCGCTGCCCGGAGCCCCTCGGCCCGCCTGCCCATGGCCCTGCGGCGGCTCCTGCAGCCCGGGCCCGGCCCCGGCCCCGCGGGCGGGGAGCAGGCGCTGCCCGCGGACGGCCGGAGGATGCAGCACCTGGCCAGCACGGTGGGCACGCTGCCCCGCGGGCGCAGGCAGGTACGGGCCGGGCAGGGACAGCCACTGCCGGCTGCTCCCCAGCCCAGGACGGACCCTCGGGCTCCCCCGGGCTGCCTCGGGGCCCGGTGGGTGCTGGAGGGGTGAGCGCCGGCTGCTGTCGGGGTGGCAGCGGCGCTTTGGCAGCGTGGGAAGGTGTGCGAGGAGCGAGGGATGCTCGGGCTGGGAGAGGCGGCGGCAGCTGAGATCGGCCCCGGCTGAACTCTCCATTTCCAGCCGTGCTGGCAGCCAGGGAGGGTTTGTGCTGTCTTCAAAAATGTGCTCCTTCAAAAATGTGCATTTACCTCGGTCAGGCGGCCTGGCTGCCCTCTGCCTGCAAGGCTGACAGCAGTGACACCACGCGCCATTTCCGTGTGGATTTGGGAGCGTTTCTGGTTTCTGCACTGCCGGGGCTGTCTCTGCCGCTGGGCTTTTCCCCCGGAGCAGCACAGGGCAGCGCCGTTCCCCCGGCTTCCCTCAGAACCGGGCTGCTGCGGCCGATGGGCTGAGCAGTTCAGCTCTGGGCTACTTGCCTGACACGAAGAAGCCTGCACAGAAAGTGCCTGTGAGGCGCGCTGATCTGACAGAATAACCAGAAAATGCTCTGCACAGAATATCGGTGCACTCAGGCCTTGCTCTGCTGGGCTGCAGAGGGGCACTGAACCTTTCCCTGGTGCGGGTGAGGGGCCGGGGAAGCCGGCCGGCGGTGGGAGCGGGGCTGCCGGGCGGCCCCAGCTCCTGCGGCCCCGCCGGAGCGCCCGGTGCCGGAGCTGCCCCGCGGCGGCTGCGGCGCGGCTGTGACTGGCAGAGCTGAGTTACACCAGCGCCAAGTGGCACTGCGGGTCCGTCCCCAGGGCAGGGGTCCCTCGCCCAGGCGTGGCCCTGCTAGCAGGCCTCTCGTCTCCTCCCAGAAGGGTTAAACACGGCCTCTCTCCCCTGCCCTTGTCCCTCGGCAAGGAAAGGCACCTCCACGAAGGGGCTCTTTCTGTAGGAGGTCACACCGTGGCACCATTTTATCCTGCTGAAGAGACATCCGCTCTGCTGACTATAAACTCCCTGATCTATTATCTTGCCTGTTATCTCGCTGATAATGGAGCTCCTTATTCCTGGCTCACTTTTATAATCCATGTTTAACACTGACCTGGCTCTTCCCAGAGCCGAGGGTCCCTGGCCTGAAGCAGGGCCCTGGCTGGGAGGTGCTGTGCAGACCTGCAGGGCTCAGGGTCTGCACTCCCCTGCCTTGGGTTGCTTTGTGCCTCTCCCGGCAGGTGTTCACCTTATGAACACCCACAGATTTTTAGAGGAAAGGGACAAAAGTGAGCTGAGCTGTTGGCACAACAGAGATGTCATCTGTGCCTGAGCTTGCCACCAGCATCTGACAGGAGGATTTGACCTCCAGATACTTTTCCTTCTGGTCAGAAAGTTCAAGCTGTCTTTTGACCAAGGCAGAGGTATTGGTGGGATGCCAGCAGCTGATTTTAGTTCTCTAAACTGCTGGTTTTATCTGTGTGCCTCAAAGAACCACAGACCTACTGATGCCTTTCCTCTCCTGTCCCTGGTCACAGCTCGCCTTGGCCAGATCCAGCTCCTTGGAGGACTTCTCAAAGCCACAGAGGTAGGATTGTGTTATTCTGTGATTCTGGAGTCACTGTTCCTGGCTTATTCTGCATGAGAGGTGTGTCCTGGGGATTGTGGCAGCCCAGGTGCGATCGGGGTACGAGGCAGACAGTGGTACCCAGCACCTGGGACATGCAGGTGCAGTTGTGACCTTTGGCTTGAGCAGGGCAACAGGCAGCACCGCCGTGGGAGGGATGGCGTGGTGGCATCTCATGGCATGGTGACACCCTGCAGGCACGGGAGGGATGGTGTGGTGACACTCCACAGTGTTGTGACACCCTGCAGGCACAGGGAGGGATGGTGTGGTGACACCCCACAGTGTGGTGACACCCCATGGGCACAGGGAGGGACAGTGTGGTGACACCCCACAGCGTTGTGACACCCTGCAGGCACAGGGAGGGACAGTGTGGTGACACCCTGCAGGCACAGGGAGGGATGGTGTGGTGACACCCCACAGTGTTGTGACACCCTGCAGGCACAGGGAGGGATGGTGTGGTGACACCCCACAGTGTTGTGACACCCTGCAGGCACAGGGAGGGACAGTGTGGTGATACCCTGCAGGCACAGGGAGGGATGGTGTGGTGACACCCCACAGTGTTGTGACACCCCATGGGCACAGGGAGGGACAGTGTGGTGACACCCTGAAGGCACAGGGAGGGACGGTGTGGTGACACCCCATGGCACAGGGAGGGGCGGTGGGGGCACACCACCGTTTTGGGTGGAAATGCAGGCCCACAAAGAGCAGCAGCCCATGGTCACATGGAATTCTTGTGCTCCTCCTGCAGGCACCTCGTTGCTATATTGAAAGAAGATAAAGAGACATTTGGGTTTGAAATCCAGGTAAGGCCTAAATGACAAGTTGATTCATTAACAGCAAAATGTGGCGCAGAGTCTGAAGTGTCATATCCCCAGAAGCAGCTGAGGCAGGCCAGAGCAGAGGAAGGTGCCTGTCAGAGCCTGTGAAATCTGAAGAGCTTACAGCACTCATACAAGACAGGGATGTTTCTCCGGGGATTTTTTTGTAGTGAAAGTCACAGATCAGAATTTCTGGTCTTCTCACAAGTCAGAGTGTTGAATGTAGGAGAAACCCCATCCAAATCCAAATAAGAGGCAATGATAGTACCTTCTTACCTCCATAAGTGAATATTTTTTTGAGAATTGTATATGAGAATATTTTAAAATGAGAGATATCAAAAACCTCTCTTAAAAATTACCTTATACTGGCTTTTTGCTACCTCCTTTAATATGCACAGAGAGATGTGTACTTTTGAAGAAGGTATACAATATTTTTCCATAAATACCTGCTAAGCATGACTTTTGGGGCAGGAGCTAAATCATACAGGAAGAGATTCTGTTTGGTGTAGAAGTGTAAGTCATCAAGTAGGAGAACCAGAATGCTACCAGGAGTACTGCCAGTGGGAGATTCTGTGTTTGTGGGTTTTTGTGAGAAAGGTAACTCATAATCAGCAGGTCTGCTAAAATCCTGGCTGCAGTTAAAAAATGATCCCAGGAATAAGAGGATGTAGTCTGGGAGCAGAGGAATCTGCCTGCCAGCAGCGGGGCACTTTTAAAGTGCTTTCCTCTGTCTGCACACAGAGGGAAAAAGTGTTTTCTGTGAAATTAGTGTGTTAGGAAAAGCTTAACTTTGCCCAATTTGGGTCTGTGACTAATGAGGGGGTCAGCACTCAGCTTGTGAACAGAGGAGAGCTTTCAGAAGGGAGGATAATTGAGTCAATTATTGGGCTTTTGTGTAAATTGTCAGGGCAGATTTTCATGAAATGTGGCGTTCTGATTAAAAATAATTGTTCTTGGCACGTTTTCTTCCTGAACATATATTCAGCGTGAGCGCTTCATAGAAAGTCGGGGCTGCAGAAAGGCAGCATCTGTCAGCTACTGAGGATGTTTAGAAGCTGTAGTTCCCTCACTGTGAGATAAATTCAGGCAAAACACAATAAGATGATGTGAAACTTGAGGTCTAGATCTGCAGGGAGCTCGTGCTTCACTCGCACTCTCAGCTTAGGCATGAATTTTACTGCTAGGAATCCACAGGGGGGATTTGACCAGATGAGCTCTGAACTTCCCGGCCTCCACCCCTTTGTCCACACCGGCTGGGAAATCGGGACTGCAGCGTGAGCTCTCTCTGGGTTAGAAGCAGCAGCTGCAGGTTTCCAGGAAACAGATGTGCTATTTGCATGTCACCAGAAAAGGCTTCCTGCTGCCGCGGGATCTGGGCAGCCTGTGGCACCCGATTTTGCATTTTTCTAAATTCACGTCAGCACCCGTAACCACATGAGGGATTTAGAGTAATTAGAGTTACTAAATGTTTAGTTAAATGTCTAAGTCAAGAATAAAAAGCACTTCGAGGAGTGCGGGGATGTGTGTGGATGACAAGTTCCAGAGGCCAGAGGAGCAAAAGTAAGTTTAAATCTTCTGTCTTTTCAGTTCCCATGCAAACTGAGTTGTGCGGTAGCAGCAGCTGACCTCACAGAGCATTCCCAATGAATAGGAGTCAATCCCTTGAAAAGCCCCAGTGCCATCCTCTTACCCCCCGGGAGCATGAGCCATTCCCACCCGTGCTGACATATTCTTGGTTGAAGTTACAGAGTTTTTAATGCTGAATAACCAGCTTGCTTTAAAACTAAGTTGGCTTTTTTCCCTCAAACCCAGTGTAGAGGCACATGTCAGGTGTCTACTGTTTTCTGCTGTACAAATGCATTTTTAGTTGTTGGGGTATAGCATTTTGATCTCATTCGCATACAATGTACTCTGCTTGTCACAGCCTTCTCATTGACAAAATACTGAATTTTAAGAGGCTTTCATGGCTCCAGGTTTGGTAACTGTCCCTTTGGCATTAACAGACTATTAGGTTTCCACACCACAATGATTTCTCCCTGGAGGTGTGCACTTGTGTCTGCAGAATCCAAGAGGAAAGCCCTGCCCACCTCTCCGGCCTTCAGACAGGTAACTGTCCGTGGGTTTTCCCGGCGTGGGAGGCCCGATGCTCCCCTCTGCCCGCTGCTGTTCCCGCGGGGCCGGTGAGGGCGGGCACGGGTGCCCATGTGGCCTCTGTGTGTCTCCGGCAGGCGACATCCTCAGCAGCATCAACGGCGTGAGCATCGAGGGCTTCGGCCACAAGCAGATAGTGGACTTGATCAAGTCTTCAGGGAACTATTTGAGGTGTGTGTCCCTCCTTTGGGTGGGGTTTGGTCTAATTTCCCCCCCCACTGCAGGCAGGACCGTGCTGCCCCACGGCCCCGCAGCGCCCGAGGGGCAGAAGCCCCGAGGGCTGGGCTGGGCAGAGCCTCTGCTTCAGGGCCAGCACCACCCCTTCCCACAGGCTAGAGACCGTCAACGGGGCCTTGCTCCTGAGGAAAATGGAGCTGGAGACCAGACTGCAGGCTCTCAAGGTACTGTGGTTAATTCCACTGGCAAATGGAGATGGCTGCTGTGGGTTCACTGCTGCTGGGGCAGGAGGGTTTCCATGGGACACAGCATCCTGGCAAGGCTGACACCCGTGGGCTGCCTGCTGCCAGCACCCCCAGCCCTGGTGCCCCTGGCATTAATTTTTGTAAACCAGGAGTAGAGAAGAAAGGTGGTCAGAATGCCCGGACTGCCCAGGTGAGCTCAGGCCGGTCAGTTTGGGTGTAGGAATGTCCATCTGCACAGAGGGCACTGGACTGTGGCTGTGGCTCCTTCTGTGGCTGTCCCAGGCACAGGCTCGCCCGTTTGGCATTTTTAATCAGCTCTGCAGGGGTTGATTTCACCCCCAGAGCTGACCTGCAGCAGAGGCAAAGCAAGGTGGCCGGGTGTTGGATGGCTGGTGGCATTGGGGGGCTGTCAGGATCCCCAGGTGCTCCCAGGGCAGCAGGGGTGGCTGGCTGTGCCATTCCCATGCCGGGAGGCCCGGCGAGGAGGAGTGGGGTGCTGGTCCTGCTGGGTGCTCCAGAGCTGGGCAGGGCTGCAGAAGAGCGCTGGCACTGCCCCGGCTGGGTGGAGGTGGGCTCCACGCTCTGCAGGTTCCGGGCTGCTCCTTTCCCAAATCGAACCTGGCCGGTGCCTTGGGCAGAGCCTCCTCAGCCATGAGCCCACTCGTGTTTTCCGGAAGAAATTTGCTACCCTCTGGGGAAGGAGTGGGACAGCCGAGTGTTTCCTGCGGGTGAGCTGCACTTGTGCGGGCTGTTTTGCCGCCCTGGGGTGACAGAGCTGTTCCTTGTCCCCACAGCAGGCGCTGCACCAGCGGTGGGGGGAGCTGCGGGCGCTGCTGGCCCGGGAGCGGCTCCTGCTGCACGGTACGTGTTCCCGCAGCGCTCCCGCAGCCCCAGCGGCTTGTGCCTCCCTCCCGTCCCCTCCCAAGGGAGCAGGGGCTGCCCGGGAGCGCTTTTGTCCCGCGGGCAGCGAGCCCGGCCGCTGCTGGGGCGGCGCGCACCGGGGCTCTGCGTCACTCCTGGGCCAGGGCTTTATGCGGGTGGTAGCATTTCTTCCCGTCTTATTTTGGCTTTCCGGGGGAAGGGGCTGGGTTGGGTTCCCGTGGACTGGGCAGGGTGCAGGGAGCCCCTCAGAAGCAGGAGCAGGGCAGGGCCAAGGGGCCGGGCACGGCGCTGCTGCGGCGGGAGCGGGGCTGGCTGACGCTGCTCCTGCTCCTGCTGCCAGGGGAGCTGAACGACAACGCTCTGCCGGGCGCGCTGGAGCCGGGAGAGCCCAGCCCGGGGGATGGCTGCGGCTCCCCGGGACCCTTCTGGCCGGGCAAGCCGCGCTTCTCCAGCGAGAGCAGCTCCCGCAGCCGCCTGAGCTCCATGACGCTGGGCAGCGAGGACAGCTTCTACCAGGGCAGCGCCTTCGAGGACTGGGCCGCAGAGAGCCTGAGCCGGCAGTCCAGCCTGGAGGACGACTGCGTGTTCCCCAGGGCCGGGGCCGGGGCCCGGAGCCCGCTGCGCAGGCACCGCAGCATCAGCCTGGCCAGCAGCGGCTCCGGCGGCTTCGGCACCCTCCCGCGCAAGAGCCGCGGCGCCAGTGTGCGGAAGCATCTTCTGAAATTCATTCCGGGCTTTCACCGGGCCGTAGAAGAGGAGGAAAGCCGGGTCTGATGTCGCACGTGTCACCCTCGTGCCTGGGCTGTGGCCTGAGGCGGTGGCACCGCAGGGCACTCCCCTGGACAACAGTTCTGATGAGAGTCACACGGCTCTGGGGTTGTAATTATTTTAATTTTTAATCAGAGCAAGCTGTGGACCTCTTCATTAACGTGAAAAATGAGCGACTCCAAAATGTGAAGAACCTTTGGAGAACTTCCTCAGCGAACTTCACTGTTAATAACAGTTTTTAATTGAATGCGAAATTGATAGCTATTTATTTCCTGTTACCAGAGTCAGTGTCTTCCAAAGGTCTTTAATAAAACGAGTGCTTCTACTGAAACCAGTTGCAGAGTCCCATTGGGAAGAGGACGGAGCCTGGAGCGTGTGGCAGGGAGAGCCGGGCAGGGAGTTCTGAGTGTCAGGTTTGCACCCCGGCAGCCGCTGGGCAAAGCGTGTGATAACCCCGTGCTGCTTTGATCTGGCCAGCTGCAGCCTCTGCCGGGTGCTGGCGTCCCGTGTCTTGCCAAGTGCCTCCTTCCAGGACAGGTGGAGTGGAAAGGGCTCTCCTGAGCGTGCACATGTCCCCAGGCCCTTCTGCAGGGGCCGTGCTGGGGAGGGCAGTGGTGTCTGATGCTGCCCCAAGCAGAGCAGCTGTGTGTCTGGCTGATGTGAGCTCTCTGAGGCCAGAGAGGAAAGGTGGAGGGATCCTGCAGGGATGAGCAGGACTGCTCTGCTCTGGCAGCTTGGTGACATCCAGGGGCCGCCCTGGCGTGCCTGTGCTGGTGCCCCAGGGCTGCAGGAGCTGCCCCTTGCTCCCACTGCTCTCAGCACCCCACACCTGCTCACATCTATTTCTCCAGAAGCAGAGACTTCAGGCAGTAAGGATCACACGAGAGCCTGTGTGAAGTGGGGTTTAATAACCGTGGGCACAGATGTGAAGAAGAAAGTTTTTTCACTCCCTCTCAGTACACAGAAAAGGCTGTTTGTTCAGCCTGAGCAGCCTCATGATGTTTTTGAAATACAACTGGAAGCATTTTAAATATAATTCGAAGACCTTGTGTGACCCATTCTCCTGTTGCCCGGGCAGCCTGTGCTGTTGTACCCTCAGGTACCGCTGTGCCAGGGTTTTCTGGGCTTCCCAGAGACCACAGGCTAAATCCAACAGCTTCCCTGCGAGGGACAGTCAGGGGAGCTGGGGACAGTCAGGGGAGCTGGGGGACAGTCAGGAAAGCTGGGGGGTAGTCAGGGGAGCTGGGGGACACTCAGAAGAGATGGGGGGCAGTCAGGAAAGCTGGGGGGTAGTCAGGGGAGCTGGGGGACACTCAGAAGAGATGGGGGACAGTCAGGAAAGCTGGGGGGCAGTCACAGAGGAGCTCCTGTGGTTTGTACAGGGGGAGATGTCCTATCTGTGCTGCTGCACCGAGTGCCTGCAGTTCAGCCCGGGAGCCCCTCTGCTCTGGGTCCAGCCCCAGCCCCTGCTCTGCAGGGATGTTCTGCTCCAACACCCATGTGGAGTCAAAGCCCATCCTAGTCCAGGCTGGGCCATTTCAGGTGCTGCTCTGGTCTCTGGAGCTTGTCACTGGGCACCAGTATTACCACCCGTGATTCGCTGTCTCAAAATATAGATCTACTTTTCATTGCCAGTAGCACTCCCTGAAAGGAGAAAAAAAAAATCAGAGATATTTTCTATTTGGCCAAAATGTTGAGTTAAAGGCAGATGTAGGGTGTCCAAAAGCAACCAGGGGCAGAAAAACGGTGAGATTCATTGTGGAGCTCAAAGGGAATGGACAGCCCAACACTGAGAAAGGGAGCCCAAAGTATTGCAGCTTTCCAGTCCAAAGGTGTGATGCCTTTGGGCATGAAAGGTTAATTTGCCACACTTTGGGATATAGGCACTTGGGAAGGCTGAGGAGCCTGAGCAGCCCTCAGCTGAGGACAGGCTGAAGAAGCCATGCCCTCCCAGCAGGGCGAGGGCGTGCTTTGGGCGACGGCAGCGTGGCACAAACAGGATGTGGGTGCTGAGCCCCGAGCCCCGCTGTGCCCCAGCCCGCGGGGGAGGAAGGAGCTCACAGGCCAGCCAAAGCGCTCAGGGAGACAAGCAACTGCAGCAGCTCTTAAAAAAGGCATTTCTCCTCGCAGAGAGCACTTGGGGTGGGTCCTGCTCTGCCTCCTGGGAGCAGGGCAGGAGGAGGGTGCGTGTTCAGCCGCCACAGGACAGTGACACCGGGGTTGGGGTTCAGCTCCGTGGGCTCTGGACCTCCCGCAGCAGAGTTCTCACTGATCACAGGGATGCTGGAGAGTTCCCAGCAGCCAGTGGAACCTTTTCCTCTGCTTATTCCCCAGGGGCGGAGCGGGTAACACAAGTTTACTGCAGAGCAGGGCGCAGCTGGTCCTCGATGAATGAAATTGGATTTTAAACTGAACATTTCAATTAATTTGATGAATGCTACAGAGCCTGACCTTCTCAGGGGACTTAACTGCTCAGCTGAGTGTTGCCCACTGCCCAGACCCTCCCACCAGCTCCTGACTCCTGGGTGCCACCTTGGCCTGCAGTCAGGGACGGTGCTGCTGCC